GTATGTGTGTGTGTGTGTGTGTGTGTGTATAAATATATATATATATATATATATAAGAGCGAGTGCATATTCATTTACAATGAACAACTCGAAGTATTGTCACATAAGTAGAACACTCGACCTGCTGGGTCATAACTCACTCCCGTTTGGAGTACCAGTCAACATTGTTTGCAATTTATCGCGCTTTAAACATTGTCCGCATTGTCTTCTTATAGAGCCAATAGGCCGATAAAACATACATGCACATATGTCCGTAGAAATGCGCATGTGTATATCATATAACCCCTCGAATCACGCCGAAGTCTGAGTCTATAGTCAGCTCCTACGCCTATACGGTAGCAATTTCTTATCACGCTCTGAAGGTTTTGCGCGCTCCCCCCCCTCAGAGCCAGCAGACCAACACCGCCTTGCAGCTCAGCTTCGAGAAGTTTCTGAAAACAGACTTATCTCTGGTGAAGGAGTCGAGGGACTCGTACCACGACGCACAGGCACAGCTGACAGTGTGCTGTGCGAAGTTTGCGGCGTGTAAGAAACAGGACCATTTGGGCATGATAGAGGTGTGTGTGTCAAGTAACGGCAGGTATCAAATAAACGCCTGTGGGGTATAACGGTTGCAAAGAGTGCATGTATGACTTATCAGGCGCGAATTGTGCATGTATGAAAGGATTGGGCAGCAGACATGACAGAGGTATGTCAAGCTGCTGCAGGTATCAAATAAGCGCTTGTGTCGAATAACGGTGACAGAGAATGCGTGCACGAATTGTGCATGTGTGACTTATGAGGTGTGTGCGATATATGCGTGTGTGAAGTACCGCGTAGCATGCATTTCAGTTTAAGCGGGCGCAAACCACTGCATATCCGGCGTGATGGTTCAAATTAATTTAAGGACGAGGCCATAAACAAAAATATCTGTGAATATGGAGATGTATGTCGTTGAATCTACACGGCTAAGCGGGTACAAATAGCTTGAGGTACAAATAAGCGAATGCATAAAGTGCTATATTAAATAAGCGTACACAACCATCTGCGCACAGTGGTAGGGATAGATACGTATACGGACAAGCGTTAATATATCCTGTATATATCGATGAGAGCAACAGTTTGCCGCACATATAACTAGGCGAATGCAAATAGGCGTATGTATGTTTTAGCGAGCATATATCATCGAGCATATTATGTTAGTGCTGAAATCTGGTGAATGTGCACCACTTCAGGCCTAGCTGCCATTTGCAAACACTCGTCAGTACTTACATGCACCTGAACTCACCACGCAGCTACTTTCCACAACGTAGGAGCCCCCTACGTATGTCAAACGTGAGTGGTTTATATGATAAGTTCTTATAAGCGTGCGTCTCTTCGATTGAAACAAGAAAATTCATGAATTAGAATGAGCATGCACATAGCGGATGTCTGCTTGTAGGCATATACCTTGTGGGTATAGATTCCGAGAAATGATAATACTCTTGATACCTCCGCAGCTCTGTTTCAGGGTTTTAGGCTGCTGGCGTATCAAGAACATTATAATTTCCTAAATATTCGCAAATTTTGCTCATATATGCATGCCTCCTCTCCGTGTATGCTGGCTCGTCTGCCCCAGACGCGCAGTGTTTGTATAGTTGATTTAATGCAGAGTATATGAACCGTTCTCTTATCGACACTACTATCACTCACTGACACTACTATCACTCACTGACACTACTATCACTCCCACTGACACTACTATCACTCCCACTCACACTTGCGTCACTTCAACGGAGTCTATGGACCGTTCTCTTATTGACACTACTATCACTCCCACTGACACTTGCGTCATTTCAACGGAGTCTCTGCACTGTTTTCTCATCAGTGTAGCGTGTCGATATGTATTGTCCAATCTCCCGTCGAGTTGTGTAGTGCGTGCTGTAATATTTGTCATGGCTTTTGGTGGAACATCATGCGGCCCTATAGAACACGCAAATGTATTCCAAGTGGTGAATCATTCCCTGAATCTGTATGGACAAGCAACCTACGGATGTATATACTGTGGCTAACCCAATCACTGAATACGCCTCATCGCAGACAGCCAAGTATGTACACGATGCGAAAGTGCGGTACCACAAGGAATCGTGTCAGTACGCCATGGCTAACGTCACCATACACGCACAAAAGAAGATCATGTACCTGGAAAAGGTTGGTCCGTGTGTGTAATCTCCGTACACTCACAGACGGAGATCATGTACCTGGAAAGGGTTTGTCAGTGTGCGTAGTCTGCGACCAAAGCTGTGGTGTTAGTCTCCGCATGTAAAACAGTAGCAGACCTAAGGCAGGTCAGAATGATGTCTTCTCTTTGCGAGCTCTGTTTGCTTAGTGATGTGTAGTGCCGTGGATAGCTGCCGATTTGTCCTGCATTGTGACACCACGTCAACTATGCCAACGTCCAGAGATTCTTAGGGTTATTTGTATTGGGAACACATCTGCAGCGTATGTGGTAGGTTGTGATCCAAGTACAGGGTCGGGTATTGTATATGCGCGTCTCTGGTGCTATCCGATAGTATGACACGCCTATCCTGTGCAAAACATGCGCGATCTATTGGAGCACGTTAATGCCGTCACAATCATGCCCTTATGTGTGGTCACGAATTAAATTGAGACTGCATGAGCAAGTACAGTGACGCAGACTCTGGATCGAATCACTGCCCATGGCTCTAAATTTCGGTACACTTGCTCAAAGCGTCGTAGCGTAGCACGCTAACACAGTATTCATGGTAGACACGCATGGGATATTGAGCGACACACACACCGGTATGTGTGCAAAGTTTCACACGAAGTGGAATATACATCTAGCTAGCACCTGTTTAGAGGTGAGGATAAGTCTGTTGCTCACAACCTCTCCTTGGTTTGATTTATGGCCTTTCTGTGGTGTGTGTTCGTGGAACAGATGCTGGATGTGTTAAACTCGCAGATGGCGTTCTTCCAATTGGGCAGCAAGGCATTGCAACCACTGGAACCACTTATGAAGGACTGCTTTGACCAACTAAAATCGGTGTGTGTATCTCGAAAGTATATGTCTCAGCTTATACGCACATGTACAAGTTACGGGTATAGTTGCGTACGATTTGATGCTCCACAGAATGGCTGCGTATAGATAAGTGACATACACACGAGTGGGCTATGCCCTGCTTAATATATACGCATATGCTTCCTATGTTATGCACGGATATTTAATATGGTATATTTATATATATATGTGTGTGTGTGTGTGTGTATGCGTGTATGTATATATATATATATATAGTGGGTGTGTGTGTCTGTGTATGTGTCTATGTCTGTGTCTGTGTGTGTGTGTATGTGTGTCTGTCTGTCTGTATGTCTGTCTGTCTGCCTGTGTTTTATGTATGTATGTGTACATGCTATGTATGTGTACATGCTATGTATTTTGTATGTATGTAAGTATGTATGTATGTATGTATGTATGTAGGTATGTATGTGTTGAAGTATGTATGTATGTATGTATGTACGTATGTATGTATGTGTGTGTGTGTATGTATGGATGTATGTATTTATGTATATATGTTGTAAGTATGAATGTATGTTGTATATATATGTATATGTATGTTGTATGTATGTATGTATGTATGTATGTATGTGTTTATATATATATATATATATAAGCCCTCGATCCAAACGTCTTGCACTCTGTTTCTAGGATGTCTCGGTGAACTGCACATTCTAGAATGTGTATTTTTATTTGTTTTATTGCTATTCTTTTGTGGGACCTCTTTCACATACTGTTGCACTCATCTGACAAAAATATGGTGTAAAATGTGGTGCCGATGCCCTCGATGGAAGCATACACGTATATGAAGTTATGCGTTTAGTATATTAGCGTGGTGTAATATCTGACTTCATTATAGGACATCTATAACTGTGAGCGTCGATGCCTCGTAGCAAGAACACAATGCTCACTTCTCTTTACTGTGATGTCGTATTTCTTATAGTATATGGCAGTGTACAGTGTATCACATCTGCTAGTGTGCATATTATTGTTCATATTCACATATCCCCACATTCCCTCAGTCATTGTACGTTTAAGTTGTTTTTGTTTCTTTTCACTACAATGTTCCCTATCGCATGAAGGCTAACTATTCTTCCCATATACATTCGTTGTCACTCCCCATTAGATGAAGTCTTCTTTCGCTGAAATGCAACAGCAGGACGATGCGGATTACGACATATCTGTTAAAGTATGTGAGAACTGATATGTACTTCTTCAACTTCCTCAGAGTGGCCTGTGTACGAAATACACTTTTATGCATGGATAGTAGCGGACGTATACACACTATTTCACATTCTCTGTCTTGATTGTCGTGTCGTTCATCCAACTTGCAGAAAAAAGCCGAAGTGTTTCTCGATGAATATATCGCCTTTCAGATTAATGACCTAAAAAAGGACTCAGATTCGCCCAATATGAGAAAACGGAGCACCACTGAGGTGACCAAATCTGGCTACCTCTTTGTGGGAGAGAAGAAACAGTTCGGTACGTATGCGTAATTCGTTTGCTCTATTAAAGCCCTCAGACCAATCCGATATTGGGTAGTTGGCCATGCGTTGTCCTGGCACGTGTTTAATAGTTTATATCACAGGGAATATAGAAGAGTTTATACCACAGTAGGAGAGTAGGAGTATATATATATTATATGAAGGTAGTCTTATAGGGTATACATAAGGGTTACGATGATCATGGGATGGGGTCTATAGTAGTGAGTGACAATCTCAGATAGGTTAGAGAGTACTAGGGCCTGGAATGAACTTCATCGGAAGGGTATCCAACTATCACTGTAGGAGTTAGCAGAGCTGTACTTCAAACAGTTGTGACTCTCCTTCAACATTTGTAGCCTGTGCTTAGTACTAACAGGAGGAGCTAGAGAGCACACAAGTGTCCCATAGGCCGGTCTATCTTGGGAGAGAGCTTAGGGGGGCTTTGTTACTATATAAACTCGTATTCGGAAATAATATTTCAGTACTTCACCAGGTGTGGCTATTTATGGCACACACTTTGTTTACAAGTGCGTCTTGTCTCACAGGATACACATGGGATCGGTCGTACTTCTACATCATTGACGGAGTGCTCATGCGGCAGTCCAACCACACGGTATGCCAAAGTAATATGTGCTGAATATAAGCAATTTGATCGGAAATCTGAGCATTTTGTATGGAATCTGATATATATATTATATATATATATATATATATATCTATATATATATATATATATATATATATATATATATTATATATACATATATAT